CATGATATCTAAATAAAATACCTTGATTCGAAAACTTAGATTTTTCAATTTCGAATCTTTGGCCAAAGTAAACAAATCTTCTTTTTATCGTCGTGTTTTGAATATGGAATCGGCGCATTCTTTTTTCGAAAGAATAATTGCAAAAATATTATTTTTGGTGTGTCTATTTTTAACAATATCACAATCAATTGACTATTTACAAAAATATCACTAATTAAAAAAAATTATACCCTAGATCTTTTTCAAAAAATTGTATACATTCAACTAGTGGAGCTAGCAACGCCAAATTTTTTGGTTAGTCACTATTACCCTTATGATCATGCATAAATATGTACTATAATTAAACATAAGTTTTTAAAAATTCTGTTCTCTAAATTATGTCACAAAACTTTTTTTTTTTGCACATTTCGGGAGAAAAAAAATTCTACTTAATTCATCTGATCCCACCACAAAAATTTTTCCTATCAAGCAATATTTTTTTTCTCGGAGGAAAAGTTTCACCCAAAAAAAACCTAGAGGAAAGTTTTACTCATCTTTTCTTTTATTCTTTCCGTTTCAAAATATAAATTGTTTTGGTTAAAAATACGAATATTAAGTAACTATTTTTTTTTTAAATATCATCTTATATATATAATAAAAATAATTTAACCAATGAAAAAACGACTGCAAAATACTATTGGTCATTCAATAATCAATAAAATTAAAAAGTAACTAAGATTATCAAAACAACTTATATTTTAAAACATAAAAAAATTTACAAAATAATTTATATTTTAAAATAGAAGGAGTATATGTGGGTTCAGAAGAAAAGTAAATATTTTCTTCTACCAGTACCACCAAGTCAGCCTTTGTTTTTTATCGATCCAATGGGTTATGAGTTGTACATAGAGTAATATACGCTTCCATGATTACGATAAACGGATCATTGACCTGTAAAAATAATTACAATGAATTCGTTTAGTCTTTAAAACTGTCATCGAGCAATAAATAAGAAAATGAATTCGCATCCACACATAACTTTTTGTTTGACCGGATTAACGTAAAGTAGTAAAATGGCTTTTTTATCTGT